AGCACCTGCAGCTGGTGTGTCTGTGTGCTGTTCCTGGATGGAAGGACTAGTAAAGAAGCCAGAAGCTGGCATGCAATGCAGGCAAGAAAGTTGGTCAGTGAAAATGGAAATGGAGATGTCAGGGGGTGAGGGACCGGCTGGGGTTGGGGAGGGAAGGGGGATGTAGCAGCATAGGTAACAGGGCAGATGTACCTGGGGAGTCAGATGTCCAACAGATTGTAGTGTGTCAGAATTCCACTGTCTATACTGAGTCCATGAGTTTCTATACCTACTACCTAGGAGGCTGATGAAATGATGTTCATAGGCCCGGCTCTGAGAAGTGGTTTGTAAATTCAAACAAGCACCGAACTTCATCACCAGAACTGAAGCCAACTTCCTACAGCTCAAAACGCAAAACCTGCCAACTATCTCCAGTACCCCCACAAACTGCACACCAGAATCTATCAAAGACAACAATACCCAACTACCTGTGGAGGCGCATTCCTTACAAAAAAACCACTCAGAATCAGTCCCGAGAGACTGGAGACAGAAAGGGAATTTACAAACCACTTTTCACAGCCAGGCCTATGAACTTCATTTCGTCAGCCTTCTAGGTATAGAAACACACAGACTCGATATACACAGTGGAATTCTGACACTCTACAACTTGCCGGACACCTGACTCCCCAGGTACCTTGGCACTTACCTGCACTACTACAACCCCCACCCCAGCCTGTCCCTCAGCCCCCTGATGCCTCCATTTCCATTTTCACTGACTGACTTTCTTGCCTGCATTGCATGTCAGGCCAGCCTCTGGCTTCTTTACTATTCCTTCCATCCAGGAATAGCAGACAGACCAACTGCAGGTGTTACTCAGCCTGACAAAGGGTTTTTCAATATGAAAGCTGGCATCCCAGGAAGCTAAGCTGAGCTCACTGGGAGCCTCACAACTTGACTGCAACCAGCAAGCCTCAGGCCTGTTAAAGATGTGACAGGTCTGGGCTTTCCCCAGCCAGAGCTATGTGTGTGCATGTGGTAGCTGGAGGTTATGGCACCTCCTACCTGCCTTTCATCAGGGAGATTCTTGGTCCTGGCACTTCTTGGGGCTTCCACACCACCAGCAGTCCCACTGGGCCTCCCTGACCCTGGCAGAGTGCAGTTTTAGTGGTCATGCCCAGGACCTGGGGCCTCCTCCTTTCCCATAGCCCCAGCCCATACCTCCAAGTTCATCCTGGCATGGAAGCTCAGCAGGGACTTGTTCTTCGCCTACTGGCTGGTGATGTAGTGAGTGCCTCTTCCAGCTCTGAGAGAGAAGCATTAAATGGTTTTTTTAAAAGAAAATAGATGCAGACAGAGTGAGGAGGGTAGCATTCACTCTGTCTGCATCTGGAGCTTGGGGAACTTCAGCGGGAGGTTAACCTGCAGGAACATCATGAGACAATTAATGCTAGCATGGGACAGTAGATCCCCCTCTTCCACATTCCCCCGCCTCCGCCGTTCTGCCTACCTGACTGTCTTCACCAGCACCTCCGTCCACTGATTCAGGCTTTGGCTGTTGCATACACTGCCCTTCACCTTGTGTCACACATGGTGGCCAACACATGCACTGTAGTGGACCACAAGGGATCAAGTTATTTCCTGATGCCCTCCTGTAGCTGCCTCACCAGTGCCTGCATATCTGGTGACAGTGGCTTGCCCCAGCCAGGAACATTGATCCCTTGGAAGCTCTACATTTGGCTCTGAAGTTCCCTCACTATGGGGATCACCTGGCTAAGGAGGGCATCGCCAGTGCTGAGGGCATTGCCAGCACTGAAAATCTGGGAGATGGTATCCCACTCTGTCCTAGCAAGGGAAATTCTGAGGAAGGAGGGGGAATCATTTGAGTTTGTGCTCCACACCCCTCAAGTTTCCCCTAGAACCAGGTCTCCTTCCCCAGAAGGCACTTTGTAGGAGGTTGACGTAGAGGTGGAGGCAAGCGGCTCAGCTGAATTCACTCTTCCTGTTGCTGTGCGTCTGGCTGTATCCCACTCAGCTCTGTTCAGGGGGTCGCTAATCCCAATCTCCCTGAGCAAGGCCATCTCATGGATGGCCTTCTGTTGTTCCACCAGCCTCTCGAGTATCAAGTATGTAGAGTTCCACCAAGTCTCCACATCCTGCATAATTTTGTGCTGTGGGATGTTCAGCTCTGTTTGTTTGTCCTGCAGCATCTTGCCCCCTTGATGCTTCAGTGGAAGTAGCCTGACACCTTCCTGCATTTGGAAATGAGCTTGCTGGTGCTGTCACCAGCATCCCTGTCCCCCTCCAAGGCG